ACCCCCAGGCTGTACCCAGTGTCGCCAGTCCGTACCCAGTGCCCCCCCAGCCCCCCAGTCCGTACCCAGGGCGGCGTTGGCGCTCTGCAGCTCCTGGTCGGACACGTGGATGCGCACGCCGGCCTTGGGGGCGAAGGGGGGCACGCGCACGTGGCGCACCAGCTCGGCCACCGCCGCCCGGTCCCGCGAGCCCGCGATGCCGTAGCTCTGCGCGAACAGGTTGGCGGCCGCCACCACGTAATCCAGGTGCAGGGGCTGCGGGGGACAGTGGGTCAGGGCCACCCCGGGGTGGGGACAGCACCCCAGGGTGACGGGTGACACCCAAAGGTGGCGGGTGACATGCAAAAGTGATGGGTGACACGCAAGGGTGACGGCGTGGCAGCCAAAGGTGACACTAAAGGGTGATGGAGTGGCACTCAAGGGTGATGGGGCGGCACTCAAGAGTGACAAGTGACACCCAAAGGTGGAGGATGACAGGTAAAGGTGGCAGTGAAAGGTGACAGGTGACACCCAAAGGTAATGGTGTGACAACTAAAGCAAATGGGGTGGCAGGAGAGGGTGACAGGTGACACCCAAAGGGGACAGTATGGCAGCCAAAGGGGATGGAATGGCACTAAAGGGTGATGGGATGGTAGCCAAAGGCGACAGGTGACAGCCAAAGGTGACAGATGACACACAAGGGTGACTGCGTGGCAGCCAAAGGTGACACTAAAGGGTGATGAAGTGGCACTCAAGGGGGATGGGGTGGCACTAAAGAGTGACAGGTGACACCCAAAGGTGACGGGTGACACGCAAAGCAAATGGGGTGGCAGGAAAGGGTGACAAGTGACACGCAAGGGTGACAGTGTAGCACCCAAAGATGACATGGTGGCACTAAAGGACAATGGGGTAGCACTAAAGCGTGAAAGGTGACACCCAAAGGACACCGATGGCACCCACAAACCAGAACCTGACCATGGCTGGGAACACCCGTGGGTGGTTTTTGGGGTGACGTCCCCCTGCCCCCACCCGGCCCCCCCAGACCCCACTCACATTGTCGGGGTCGAAGACGAGGGGGTGGGGGCAGCGCTTGGGCCCCGACCAGAACAGGGTCCCCGAGTTGGTTTTCTGTAGGGGAGGGGAATGGAACAAACGGGGTTAATGGGGTGATTTGGGGTTAACTTGGGGTATTTGAGTTAATGGGGTATTTGGGGTTAATGGGGTATTTGGGGTCAATGGGGTATTTGGGATTAATGGCGCATTTGGGGTCAACAAGGTATTTGGGGTTCAGGAGGTTTTTGGGGTCCCACTTGGCCCAGGGGGAAGTTGTGCAGCAGCTGGCAGATGTTGTTGGGTGTTAACAGGGTATTTGAAGTTAAGGGGTATTTAATGGGGTTAAGGATTATTTAATGAAGTCAGGGGGTTTTTGGGGTCCCACCTGGCCCAGCGGGAAGTTGTGCAGCAGCTGGCGGATGTTGTTGGAGTTAATGGGGTATCTAATGGGGTTCAGGGGTATTTAATGGGGTTCATAGGGTTTTTTGGGGTCCCACCTGGCCCGGGGGGAAGTTGTGCAGCAGCTGGCGGATGTTGTTGCTGTACTGGCGGTGCCAGTGGCGGCAGGCCCAGGCCACGCAGTCCGGCCACGCCCGGGGCCGGTCACTCACGAGGCTGCGCTGGACGGCCTCGAGCACCTCCAGGGGCTGCGTCCCYGCCAGGCGCAGGGTCCTCTCCAGGAATTTGGGGTCCCTGGGGGAGAAAAAGGGGGTTCATGGGGTTATGGGGCTGTACAGGGATCCCAAGGGGGAATTTGGCGTCCCTGGGGGAAGCGGGGGTGATATGGAATGATCCATGCAGAATTTTTGGGTAATCTATGTGGGATTTGGGGTGATCCGTGTGGGATTTGGGGTGATCCATGTGGGAGATTTGGGGGTGATCCATGCGGGATTTGGGGGTGATCCATGCGGGATTTGGGGGTGCCCCATCCCCCTCCCCCACACTCACATCAGGTACTGGTTCACGTTCTCTGCTGGCTGCTTGAAGAGCCCCTCGAACTCATCACGCGCCCACTGCGGGGGAGGGGCGGTCACTGGGGGGGGTCCTGGCACCCGGGACCCGCCGAAATGGGGACTCCAGTGCCCATGACCCCATAAAACAGGGACTGGTTCCCCCAAAACCAGAATCCCAATGTCCAGGACCCCGAAAACCAGGGAACTTGGTGTCTGGGACCCCACAAACCAGGTCCACAACCTCCCAAAACCAGAACCCTGGTGTCCAGAACCCCAAAACCAGGGAACCCATTATCTGGGATCCCCCAAAATGCTCCCCACCACTCCCCAAACATCACCCAGGTATTTGGGACCCCCTCCAGAGGAACCCACACACCCGGGACCCCCCAAAAGATCACCCCAGGGCACACCTGCAGCGTGTGCTCGATGGCGTTGGGGAAGTTCTTGAGGGTGCAGATGGGGATGGCCTTCTCGGGGGGGTCCTGGCTGGAGCTGTAGGATTCGCTCAGGAACGGGATCACCACCTGCACGTTGCCCTTGGTGCCCAGAGTGCCCGACTCCAGCAGCGGCTTCCGGTAATAAACGCAGCGGCGGTCCATGTACAGCCCTGCCACGGACACGGGTCAGTTATGGGGCACCCCATGGGGTATAGGGCAGCCCAGGGGATATGGGGCACCCACTGGGGATATGGGGCACCCCACAGTAAACGCAGTGCCAGTTCATGTACAGCCCTGCCAGGGACATGGGTCAGTTATGGGGCACCCCACAGGGTATAGGGCACCCCAGGGGATATGGAGCACCCCATACGGGCTGTGGGGCACCCTATACTGGGGATATGGGGCACCCATAGGGGCTGTGGGGCACCCCACAGTAAACACAGCACTGGTCCATGTACAGCCCTGCCAGAACCCCTGAGTCAGCTGTGGGGCACCCCACGGGGTATAGGGCACCCCTACATATAGGGCACCCATAATGGGATATGGGGCACCCCGTATGGGCTGTGGGGCACCCACTGGGGATATGGGGCACCCCACAGTAAACACAGTGCCGGTCCATGTACAGCCCTGCTGGGGACACGGGTTAGTTATGGGGCACCCCACGGGGTATAGGGCGCCCCTAGATATGGGGCACCCACTGGGGATAAGGGGCACCCCATATGGGCTGTGGGGCACCCTATACTGGGGATATGGGGCACCCCACAGTAAATACAATGCCGGTCCATGTACAGCCCTGCCCCAAAGCAGAGGTCAGTTATGGGGCACCCCAGGGGATACAGGGTACCCCAGAGGATACAGGGCACCCCCCACACTCACGGGCGTCCACGTTGTCCAGGGCGTTGGCCACRCCGTCCAGCCCCTCGAAGAAGTCGTCGTCGTAGACGCGCTCGGTGTCGGGGCCCACGCGGTCGGTGCGGCTGCTCACGCGCAGCGCCGGGTTCATCTCCCGCGCCGCCGCCGCYGCCCGCTCCGACTTCAGCTTCTGCAGAGGGGGAAACGCCCGGAGTGTGAGACCTCAACCCTTTGGCACACACCTTGTTAAACCACGCCCCTTTCAAATCCAGTGATGCATCCGAAAAACTAAGTCTGGGAAACTCAACCGTTGACATTGAGCACAAAACTCAACCACTGATATTGGCCAAGAAACTCAACCATTGACATTGGCCAAGAAACTCAACCGTCAATGTTAGGCACAAAACTCAACTGTTGATATTGAGCACAAAATTCAACCGTCGGCATTGAGCACCAAACTGAACCATTGACGTTGGCCAAGAAACTCAACCGTCGACGTTCAGCGCAAAACTCAGCTACTGATCTTAAGCACAAAACTCAGCCGTTGATGTTGAGCACAAAACTCAATCGTTGACATTGACCAGGAAGCTCAATCCTTGACATTGGCCAAGAAATTCAACCATTGACACTGAGTATCAGTTGAGGAAACTCAACTGTTGACGTTAGCTAAGAAACTCAACCTTTGACATTGAGCACAAAATTCAATCTGTGACAATGGAGCGCAAAACCCAGCTGTTGATGATGGCCAAGAAGCTCAACCATTGATATTGAGCACAAAACTCAGTCGTTGATGTTGAGCGTGAAACCCAACTGTTGATGTTGAGCGTGAAACCCAACTGTTGATGTTGAGTGCAAAACTCAACTGTTGATGGCAAAACTCAATCACTGACATTGGTTAAGAAACTCAAATGTTGATATTGCTCACAGAACCCAATCATTGACATTGATCACAAAACTCAATCGTTGACGTTGGCCAAGAAACTCAACCATTGTGATGTTGACCAGGAAATCTAAGTGCTGACATTGAGCACGAAACTCAACCGTTGATGTTGAGCGTGAAACCCAACTGTTGATGTTGAGCGTAAAACTTAATTGTTGATATTGAGCGCAAAAAGTCAACTATTGATCACAAAACTCAACCATTGACACTGGCTAAGAAATTCAATTGTCGATATTGATTGCAAAACTCAATTATTCATGTTGATCACAAGACTCAATCGTTGATGTTGGCCAAGAAGCTCAACCATTGTGATATTGACCAGGAAACCCAAGTGCTGACATTAAGCACGAAACTCAACCATTGATGTTGAACACAAAACTCAATTGTTGGTGTTGAGCACTAAACCCAACCACTGATGTTGAGCATGAACTCAACCATTCCCATTGGCCAACTTAGCAGCAGCATCCCAATGGTGGTTGCCCAACCCCTCCCCGGTTCTGCCCCTCGAAACTCCCCTAAAATTCTGCCTCCTCAGTGTCCCCCCCAGACCTCCCCCTTAGGCTCCTCCCACTCCTCACCGTGACATCCCATGGCCGAAAGAGGAACTGGCGGTTGAGGTTGGACTTCTCGATGGTGTCCATGTCGGTGACGGTGATGCTGCCCTCGGGGCCGCAGCCCAGCCCCACCATGGCRAAGTTCTTGAGCAGCTCGCAGCCGATGGCGCCCGCCCCCACCTGCCAGGGACACGTGGGGACACATGTGGGGACACGTGTGAACACGTGGGGACACATATGGACATGTGTGGACAGAGCGTGAGGTGGCCCAGGGGTGGGGATGTGTGGGTGGGAAAAGGATGGGAGTGCAGGGGACACTTTGGGATGCTTAAAAACGAAGTTGGGGATGTTAAGGACACTGAGAGTATGGGGAGGACACAAAGGAACAATCAGGAGATGTGTGAGGACTCTGGGGACACAGCCAAGGTGGCCCAGGAGGGGACAAGGCAGATGGGAGAGGTGGCACTTGACAAATCCATGAAGGAAAATTTGGAGATGTGAGAAAAAGGTGACGACACAAGAGGTACAATGGACAATGGGGGACAGTTGGGGACATGGGGGACACTGACCACGAAATACTTCTGGGCGCCCAGCTTGGCCTGCAGCTCCACCCCGAACACGGCGATCTGCCCGTCGTAGCGGCTGTTGCGCTGGGGACAAGGTGACACCGGGGTCAGCTGTGCGTGTCACCCGCCAGGGGACACCCCCAGGGCTGCAGAGCCACCACGGGGGCCCAGGTGTGACACCTGATATGGCCACATGATGGAATCCCCAAGGAAAGGCCACCCACAGGTGTTTGGTGGCCCCCCAAACCCGTTGTCACCGAACAGAGTGACCAATGGGTGTCTGCCAGCCAAAGTGCTCCAAGCACTGTGCCCCAAAGGTGACACTCCCCACGGATGTCCCCAAGCCCCCCGGGGTGTCCCCCAGCCCCTCACCGGCCGGCACTGCTCCTCGGTGAGCAGAGAGTCGCGGTTCTCCTCGGGCAGGCACTCGAGAGCGTCAAAGTAGAGCCACTGCGTGATGGGCGTGAACTTCCCGGACACGGCCTGGGTGGGGACAGGGACAATGGGGACAGGTCAGGGACAGGGCAGAGACAGTAGGGACAGGACAGGGATGGGGAAGGGACAGCACGGGACAGGTTAGGGATGGAGCAGGGACAGGACAAGGACAGTAGGAGACAGGGCAGGGACAGAGGGGGACAGGTCAGGGACGGGGCAGGGAGAGCAAGAGACATGTTAGGGACACATCAGGGACAGGGCAGAGACAGCAGGGGACAGGTTAGAGACAGGGCAGGGACCCAGGGGACACAGCAGGGACAGCGCAGGGACAGCACAGGACAGGGCAGGGACAGCAGGGGACAGGTTAGGGACAGGGCAGGGATCCAGGGGGACACAGCAGGGACAGCGCAGTGACCACAACAGACACAACGTGACACGGAAACCAAGCCAGGTGCCCCAGCCAGTGACACAAGTGACCCCAGCTGTGACCCGAGGGGACAGCGGTCTCAGGGCCACCCCAGGTGGCCGTGGGTGTCCGGTACCTTCATGACCTCCTGCGCGGCCAGGCCGCCGATGAAGGCGTTGACCGGTGCCAGGTCGCCGGTGGCCTGGAAGGCCAATTCCCGCACCAGCTCCTCGTCCAGCTCCGCCCCCGCAGCCACTTCCTTGGTCAAGGCCACCACCTCGGCCGCGTCACCCTGGACACAAAGGGACGGGGACATGGTGTTGGGGACAGTGTCGGGACCAGGGAGGGGCCATGAGGTGGTTGGGAGTGGTTGGCCTCAAAGTGTCCCCAACTGCCCCCACAGTGGCCCCAGTGGCCCTGATTTCCTCAAAGTGTCACATGCCCACAGTGGCCCTGGTGTCCCCAGTCAACCGTGGTACCATGGCTGGGATCCTCACCCAGTGGTCCCATGTCCTTCCCAGCTCCTGCCACCCCCAACACCTCTGATGTCCCCAACGTCCCCAAATTCTGGTGGGGGCCCTGGTGATCTCCATGTCCCCAACACTCTCAATGTCCCCAGTGTCACCAGAGGTGGGTACACCCCCAACGCCCTCAAGGTCCCCAGTGTCACCAGTGGTGCTAGGATCCAGGCCATGTCCAGCAGGTCCTGGTGGCCTCCCTGTCCCCAACACCCTCAATGTTCCCTGTGTCACCAATGGGCCTCCCTGTCCCCAACACCCTGAATGTCCCCAGTGTCACCATGTCAAGCAGATCCTGGTGTCCTCCATGTCCCCAGTGTCACCATGTCAAGCAGATCCTGGTGTCCTACATGTCCCCAGTGTCCCCAGTGTCACCATGTCAAGCAGATCATGGTGGCTTCCCCGTCCCCAACACCCCAAAGGCTCCCCCGCCGCGCTGTCCCCCCGGTGTCCCCGATGTCCCCACCTGGTGACGGGGCCGTGGGGCGCGGCCGTGCTGGTGCATGAAGCGGTGCAGCCCCTGCCACGCCCAGTGCATCATCGAGGGTCTCTCGGCCTTCCCGAAATCCGTCACCATCATCTCCGGCTCGGCCAGCGCGTCCCGCAACCGTTTCTGGGACAGGGATGGGAGCGTGACACACCAGTATAACCCAGTATAACCCAGTATAACCCGGAAACCTTTTCTGGGACAAGGACGGGAGTGTGACACACCAGTATAACGTGGTATACACCAGTAAAACCTGAAAACCGTTTGTGCGACAGGGGTGGGAGTGTAATACACCAGTATAACCCAGTATAAATGGGTATARCCCAGTATTAACCAAAAACCATTTCTGTGACAGGGACGCGAGTATGACATACTAGTTAGTAAGAGCCAGTATAAACCAGCATAACCCAGTATAACCCAAGAACCGTTTCTGAGACGGGGACAGGTAAATCTGATGCCCCAGTACAAAYCAGTATAACTCAGTATAACCCAGTGTCCCCTCAGTGTATCCCACAACAGTTTCTAGGATGGGGATGAGGACAGGTGAGTGTGACACCCCAGTACAAACCAGTACAACCCAGTCTAACCCACAAACTGTTTCTGGGATGGCAACAGGGACAGGTGAGTGTGAGACCCCAGTATAAYCCAGTATGACCCAGYAGCMCCTCAGTGCCTTCCATGRTTYGCGCTGGGACAGGGACRTGGAGAAATAAGCACCAGTAACACCCAGTTCACGACAAAACCCACCCAGTCGCCTCCTAAATCCCACTCATCACCCCTCCAGTCCCTCCCAGTGCTCCCAGTCACTCACRAAGTGGATGTGCTTGGGCATCTTGACCTGGGTGACGATGCCCCCCCGCACGTAGTCCCCGTAGCCGCTCGTGTCCCCGATGCTGAACGTGTAGGGCCCTTCAGGAAAA